AAACAAACTGGAGCTAGGAAATCTCATCAAGCATGTCCTGTGAATGAAGTGCTTCCCAGCCACAGGATGACCTTTTTATCCATGACGATGTAGTAGCTGCTGATCGCTCGTCTGGTGGTTCCTGATGCACAGATATAGGGCGATGCTCATCTAAGAACTCTTCAAGACTCCAGCATGACTAAGAAAAATGTTTGAAAACAAATTGCAATCAAATTCTATGATATATTTAAAAGAACATTTAAAGTAAATAAAACATTCAAGAAATCTAAACTCACCTTTTGAAAATCTTCATGATGATCCACAACTTGACTCTCCCAGCTGGTTGAGGTGACAGGATATGGAAAAGTAGAAAAAACACATACATCACTGTTGGATCTCCAAAAACAATTAGGTTAACCACTATGACTAGAACTGGAAAAACAGGCAGCTGTCTGTCCAGAATCCTGAATTTAACACAACACTTGGAGCAAAATTTAGAGGAGCTTAAAATCTTTTATATCATTTATTGATGCTGACTTCCCCAAAATATTGGCCACAGTGTAAAAAATATTCATAAACTTACAGTTTTCGGTAAGCGTGTGCGTGTGCGTGTGTGTGTGTGTGTGTGTGTGTGTGTGTGTGCGTGTGTGTTTCTTTACCAGATTCAACTTGTTAGGCCCTTTCAGGTCCAGTATTGACGCCACCTTTCCTGGAGTCTAGCAGATGTTTCAGGTCCAAATATAATCTAAAATATTAGGATAAGCAGAAGAGGAAAAGTGCAAAGCAAAGAGCAAAACATTATTTAAGTAACAGTTCACCCACAATACAAAACTTATCACCTTCATGTCATTTGTTATTCTCTAATGCTCTAATACCCTCTCAGCTTATGTGAAACAAATACAGAACTTTATCAAACATACCTTCATTATTATCACCACATATGACCAAGTAGGTGTGCTTGGTCATTTCACCAACTCTGGAAATACACCATCCGTCTCTAATCAGCCACCGTCACAGGGTCTTGTGTTATTGTACAGAGAACTGTGGCTGTTAAAAAAACAACAAAACATTAGTATCTAACACATATGCATAACCTTCAGATAAAAAAGAGAGATGAACATCACAAAGTATGCCTCACACTTTTTCAGATATCTTTTGAATCAGATGTTGATTATTGATAATAAATCTACAAATCAAACCTTTATCATAATTAGGCTGCTCAAATATGAATCAGTTGATTAATTTTACAGACAGGTGGCTGTTTACAACGCACTAAATTGTCTTAAATAAAACGGAAATGTTGTGTACAGTACATGCTAAGTTTAGCCTATAGTTTTAAGCACAATATCATGCGGGAGAAAAAGCTTGACTAAGATGTTCCTGACTACAGAAATAGCCTAACTTACTAACGTCAGACATCCCGAGTTGGGAAAAGTCATTTTCGGGGGATACAGAGTTGATTTGCGGGAGGTAGCGGGAGAGATGAGTACCTAAAGAACAATGGAATGAGTTGCGCGCGACGTACCTAAAGAGCGGTGGGGGTGACTTGCGCGCGACGTACCTGAAGAGCTGGGAGGGATGCGGTGGAGTCGTGGAGAGGGGTGTGCAAAGTGTTTAATGACTAGGCGGGAGACGCGCGATTTCCGGGAGATTATCATTCATTTGCGGGCATCTACTTGGGCATCTGGGAGTCTCTGTGCATTTGCGGGATAACGTTAACGTTAGTCCCGCAACTTCCGGGAGACTTCTGTAACGTTAAATGTCTGAGAAAGTGCAAACGCGGTCATTTAAAGACATTAATGTTAACATTCCGACTTTAATGGTTGTCAACACTTAATATAATTCAAGCGTACGTTATCACGCGAGTCTATGGACTAACAGTATATGGACGGCCACGAATGAACCAGTTTAAAAGGGCCGCGGTGTTTAAAATAACCAAATTAACATACACTAATAACAAACAATCATATGTTTTAGTCAGGAAGCCTTTTACAAGTAAGCATATGTTCATTTACTCACCAGATATGTTTTAGAAACTCTCCAGAGCTTATGGAAACCGTCCTGTGTTGCCGTTAGCATCCGGGCAGAGTAGGCTAGGCTGCTCCGGGGATTCCCTCGCTAGTTTGCTTCGAATTAAAGGAGAAGTGTCGATTTTATTTTACAAATGGGTAACAACGCACAAAATGGCATTAAGCGTGACAGAAATGTGTTGAACATGTACATTTGATGTTTTTATGCACTATGTATGCGTGAGCACATATAAAAACATTCTTGAAAAGAAGTCAATAGTAATGCAGTTAAGCTAGATACACAAACGACCATGAATGAACCGCAGAAGTTTAAAATTGTCACTCCATTCTTAAGTTATTAACTTAACAATATGTTTACAACTGTATTTCCTTAAAGAAAGTCAGTAAAATACCAACATTTAGGTAGTTTGACTCACCAAATGGTGTCTGGAAAATTCTTCAGTGACTGGGGCTGCATGAATTCCCGGATGTTGGAAATAACACCACCAAGTGTTGAAAAGATAACTCCTTGATTTCGCACTGAATAAAATCAATTCTAACTCTAATTATATTCATTTATCAAAATCTAACTCTTTAACGTCAACACTTTACTCTGAAATGCTTCAACACCAAGAATTTAACTCTGAGGAATTTGCTGTGTAATTTGTGCATGTGTGTATAAACATAACATTCTGTAGTGCATTTAGTTATTGCCCAGCAGGCACACAATGTCACAGGTGACCACAATTCAATGTCTAACCAGTGTCTAAGGACAACGTTATTTTGATGTCCAAAAACGATGTGAAATCACGTTGATTTTAGGTTGTGTTGGAAGTGACCAAAATCCAGCATCGAGCCAACATCTTAAACAAACGTCATATTGACGTCAAACTTTTTTATTCATCAGTTATGGCAAACAAAATCCAACATCTGATAGACGTCATACTGGTAACGTCCCCACAACATCAAGCTGTAACATCATTAGACATTGATATTTGGTTGGTTTTAGGTTGGATGTTGGCCTGACAGTGAGTTCTGACGTCAACATGATTTTCATTTCCAAACAAAATGCAAGGTCTCCACAACACGGGTACAACGTCAGTCTGACGTCATGTTGAGGTCTTGTGCCTGCTGGGTGTTTAAGGCCATTTTGGTCATCATACAGTAAACATCTGTCATCTTCTCATCAGTGACATGCATCTAAACAGTCTCTGAGCCAATGCGTTTAAAAATTTTGGACATCTTCTTGTACACTTTTAATGCTTCGAATAGTCTGCTGCAATTATAAAGTGCTTGTGTCTTGAGGTAGTTCAGTATGATGCGATTTGCCTTCTATGTGTGATATGTTTGGAATCACAGGACTGATTTTTCTAATCTCCGTAGGCAGAAAAAAAAGAAAGTAGTGACTGCAGGTTGAAGTAGTGGAGTAAAAGTATCAATTACTGCACTAAAAATGTACTCAAGGGAAAGTGAAAGTACACATTTATAAAACTACTTAGTAAATTACAGTTTCTGAAAAAAAAACTACTCAATTACAGTAATTTGAGTATTTGTAATTAGTTCCTTTACACAACTGTATCACTCCAGTATGACTGTGGACACACTATACCTACACAGTTCTGTCCAAACAGCCTACAAAAGTTGATTTTGCATAATAGGTGCCCTTTAATTGTTATTTTATTTAATAATAAATAGCCTATTCGTTAAATAAACTACATGAGATATTATGAAAGTGATAAGAATCAAACTTGTATTAACTCTGGAGAACTGACTCAGAACCTCTTTGATGAAAATGCTCCAGATCTATTAGCCAGGTCGAATTTTTTTTTGTATTTGTCAACCCCACAACTTAGACTTTGTTCAACTGGTTTCACAGAACTAGAAAGTGCTAAAATGACACCAATATTGATCTCATTAGAAACATTGAAAACGCTGCAAAACATCTTAGGTTTCATTGTAAGAAAGAAAATATGATAGCATTAAAAGATGTAAACATTAAAGCAAGCAACAATATGCTGTGTGTGTGTGTGTGTGTGCGTGTGTGCGTGCGTGCGTGCGTGCGCGCGTGCGTGCGTGTGTGTGCGCGCGCGCGCGCTCGCTTCAGCGTCCAGCAGGAGGCGCTGTAACCTAAAGTTCTGCATGTGGGTTTACAGTGCATGATGCTGCAAAATATTACAGTTGGGCGTTCATTATATATGAGGGAAATGTGCACAAACACACACGTAGGCTATATGTATAGTGTCCGATCGCCACCGCCGCCGTTTGAAACCCGGTCCATTGTACAGTTACTAACACCACAAACACCCCACCATCTCCCCCAGTTCTCAACTTTCTTGTTCAGCCCCCTGCCCGGTCTCCCAGAATTTCGGACAAATGTTAGCAGGTATGGTGACTACCCAAAATACGGTAAATTCGGAATTAACTGGAATAAACGGAGCAACTTTGTCTTTTTTTATTATATATATATATTTTTTTTGCATAACTAGAACAATTACATACAAAAATGAGGAATACAATTTTTTACGTTAAAGGAACATCATTATATATATACAAAAAAATTGTATAAGAAAAATTGCATACATTCTTATAGCTTTTTTATTTTTTGTGTCTTTTAGGGTTTCTATATAATGCTTAAAACCATTTTAAACAAAAGAATATTAGGCTTATTATTGGACCTATTTTGTTTGCGTACATGGTACCTCCTATATATTATCATTAAATTAATAAACAAATTCTGGTCCAAAGTTTTGTTATTATTGTTATAAATCAAAAAAATATCTTGACAAGAAAACCGAATTTTTAATTTTGTAAGTTTAAGTATAAGATATTTAACATCAAACCAAAACATTTGGGTATATATGCATTCAAAAAAAAGATGTTTAATCGATTCCTCTTCTAATTCACAAAAAGTGCACGTAGATTCCATGTGTCTAAAAACGGTGAAACTTTATAGTTTATCGCCTGCACCTTTAAGATGACGGTGTACCTCGTGCTAGAATGACATCACCATGGCGGAAGCGCGTGCACCTTGCAACAGCCACAATCCTGAAAAAGAGAGGACAGGAAAGAAGTCATCCTTTATAACTTTCAACACGAGCAATTATTTTTAAACATCTTTTGATGAACCATCAGTGACTGGAGATTAACGCCGCTGATGTTGACTCTCTGGGGCAGTGACTGAAGTCCAGATCAGATGTTGACAGAAGAGTTCATTCACTGAGTGCTGGACTAAAGCTAATAGACGAGCTTTACTGACTGCAGACGGAGGAACAGAGACATGGCTCATTTTCATTTGCACTCTCTAGATGTCCAGAGCTTCCGAGAAAGGTCATGAGAATACTTCAGTGCGTTTATAAATCACGGATTTTAAAAATGGGCAATGTGTCGAATAAAGTCAGAAAAGTAACGCTTGTAGTCGACTAAAGGTCGTTTCTGGTTGTTGTTTACGAGGCGGTTCAGGAGGACCAGACACAGCTCAGGCTGAGCATTCATGGAGAATACTTTTATAAAGTGTTAGCTGTTGTGTTAGCCTCTGAAATGCCGTTGGTGGTTTCTACTGCACGGTGACGTTAGCGTTGGCGGACAAAGTTGGCCGTTTGAAGTACTGACGTGTCCTCTGGCTGAAGCTGGACGGACACGCCTGTCGCAGTTTCTGCCCCGCATCAACGCCACGTCAAAATGTCTAGAGCGGGACGACGGTTTAAAGCTTTGCATGCCAATAACGGACAGGCGCTGGCCGGATGCGACCCCCGGAGAGGGAGGCGCGTGCGCGTGCTGCTGCTGCTGTGCCTGTGCGGCGCGCTGTCGCTGGCCATGATTTTGGCGCTGTACCTTTCAGCAGAGCCCAGCGGGTCACTACTACCCCATCCTGCAGATCTCATCAAGGACAGGGTGAGCATCAAGACATCTCAGACACCTACACGAATAATCTAAAAGAGGAGGGTTTCAGTCTCGTTGCAATGTGTGCTTATCGTCCCAATAAAATGCTTAATTATTTTAGTCACGAATTGTATTATTATTCCGTTATGTTTTTAACTTCATTCAGCACATTTCACCTAGCCCGCTTAATGTCCCCATCACCTCTGTTTGGAAACTCATGATTGACCCAAGACTAAAAGTTGAGAATTGTAATCATCAACATGCTTTACTTTAGTGTGTACTTTCAGTTTAATATTATTGTTATTATTGAATAAACTTTACATTTAAAAGGTGTTTATTGAAAATAAAACTGATATCAAATAAAACATTAATATTAAATGAAAACAAAAGCAACTTACTACAATTAACTTAGTAACTCTATTGACATTTTTTATATTTATTTTCCTCTTTCTGTTATTTTGCACTGTTGCGGTTTCCTATTTGTGTTATTACATATTTCAAATAAATACTAATTTGAAGTGTTTGGTAAACACAAACATGTAATACACACTGAAATACAAGTGTTTTTAATCATCTAATGTTGAATTTGGTTTACAAAAACAGAAATGGACTGAAATAAGTTAAATCTTATATATGAAATATTATTTCACACAAACTATAAAATCACATCAAAGAATGTAGGAGATATTTACACTCTGTATCAGGAAAAAAGCAAACGAGGATGGATTATATCATGCTTTAATATCACCCAAATAGCATAAAATAAGTAAACTGCATTAGGGATGCTCCGATCAGGATATTTGCAGCTGATACTCAGGCCCGGATTAAGAATTCAGAGGCCCCTGGACACAATGTCTTGTAGATCCCCTACCTGACCGCACCCCTATAGAAAAAAATAAGATTAATGTAATATTTTTCAAATAAAATTTAGCTAGAATGTATTTTTTAAATAAATGATTTACAGTACATATAGTACTAGTCTACAAAAATGTTAAATTTTACTTTGAAAAAAATACTAATAAAACTAGTAAAATTAATGAATTTTAATATACTTGTTAAAAAGTCACAGAAGCAGTACTTAAAATGTATATTTAAGGGTATTTTTAATATATAATTGTGCAAACTTATAATGCATATGATTTGGATATCACACCTCTCCAGTCCAGTTTTATGAATCTGAGTCTTCTATAATACACATACATTTTAATAATTCTTACTTGTCTTTCTTGTGATGAAGAGTAGGCAAAATTCAATCCAGGTTCCTGATCGATCTCGTCAAAACATGCAAGAAAACAAACAAAACACAAGTTGTCATGTGCTTTACGAGCTACGCCACTTATATGGCTGTTGATTGCGCTCTTTATTTATGTTGACTCTGTCAATCAAACGGTGAAGGGCGGGAATCACTTAACGAGCTTATTCCAACAAGGTGCGCTATTTGCACTTAGCCTAAATAGACTCCAAAAGCGGCCTTTTCTCGCCTCGCAAGGACCCCAAGTGCACACAGACCCCTGGGCCTGTGCCCATAATGCCCATTGGTTAATCTGCCCCTGATTCCTTGTCATGGTGATCGGCCGATACAGAGTACCAATTCTAATGCTTCAAGCTTTATAATGCATTAAGCACATTTTCCCTCTAAGTATGAAACTTAGAAAAGATTTCGCCTTATCTAAGAGAATAATTTAAGGATGCTGCACATAATACCTTAAACACATCTCTTATAACCATTTAGATATGAACCTGTCACGGTCAGAAGCAGCTTTACAGAAAATAATTCATCCATTTATTTTACTTCAACTTAGTCCCTATTTATCAGGGGTCGCCATTGCGGAATGAACCGTCACAGAAAATAATATAACAGCGATATAAGAATTGGTATAAAAAATACAAACAAAGCTATTTGGGAACATTGCAAATGATGGAAGAAGAATTCAACATGTCTCAATCAAGAAAAAGTTTAGAGCATACATTTGATGCATAAGAACAGGGGTCTCAAACTCGCGGCCCGCGGGCCATTTGCGGCCCTCAGTGCAATATTTTGTGGCCCGTGCCGACCGCTGTACACTGACAGAATCAGCGGAGCGGGGAGAGAGAGCGCTCCCCGCTCCGCTGATTCTATCCGTACACATCGGTCACTGGCATTCCCCGCCCGCCGTGTTGTCGCGCGCGCGTTCTGATCAGCTGTGTTGTCGCGCGCGTACTCAAGAGCGATGTTATCGCGCGCCTACTGAAGGGCGGGACCGAGGGTGTGTCGCGTCGCGGGGGCACTTTTGATCGTTTTGGAAGGGCACTTTCTATGCAAGACTAAAAAAGGCATGTGCTCTGCACAGGTTGAGCCCTATGTGTGCACGTGCCTGCCCTGCATCTTATATCATAGGTAGATACAGACTGGTACAGACTGATGTGACTGGAGTGGGGTGGGGGTGTTTTATTTATACATATATACGCCTTTTTTTAGGTGAGGGAATGGAAGTTTTGAGTGAGTTTCCCCACTTTTTTCCCTAGGACTTCAATAAGTCAAAGTACAGGTCTAGACTTAATGATGATCATCTTCAAGCCATACTGAGGGTCTCAACTGCTTCCGCTCTAAAGCCAAATGTGGTTCAGATTTGTGAGAAGAAGCGCTGTCAAGTCTCTGGCAGCAAGAAGTAGGCAAAAGATGCCATGTTCAGAAGAACTGTTCATAATCTTCACTGTTCATAATCTTCACTCAATGTTCTATTAATGTTCAGGACACTTCATGTTCAGAAGAAATAATTAAAACTGTTAATAATGACATTTGAGGACTTTTTTTTGTGAAATCCCTTATGCGGCCCAGACTCACCCAGACTTTGCCTCCTGCGGCCCCCAGGTAAATTGAGTTTGAGACCCCTGCATAAGAAGTTAAAATGCACACCTATAAATTTATTACTACCTTACTAAAACTTCTACTATAAACTTCTACACTTCCAGGAGAGGTCATAAGGCAGGATGAGACACTAGAAAGGGGCGATCGCTCCTCTCGCCTCACAGCAACTCAAATCACTGGAAATACAATGGCTGCACCTGCACCAATAGACTGTATAAACAGATTGCACCACATATATTTTAGTAGTGATGTGAGCTCATAGATCGCTTACTCCTACACACATTATTTACCTCCTGTTGAGGCTGCTGTGGGCTATGTATAATAGACGAGAATGCCTGTGCATATTCCTCTGCTTTTAAACTCCTAAACCAGGGATGCCCAACCCTGTTCCTGGAGATCAACCTTCCTGCTGAGTTTAGCTCCTACCCTGATCAAACACACCTGAACCAATTAATTAGGACCTGAATACCACTTGATGATTACAGGCAGGTGTGTTTCAAATGGGTTTTCAGAGGGCCGGACATTCTTTTAAACCATAATAAATATGTTCATATTTTCACCTCTGTCTTTTTCAATCTGCAGCTCTCTCATAAGCCAAATAAATACTCTGTGGCACAAGCCAAGAAACTGGCAGGACAGGTGGATGGGCATCGGCTTTGGGAGACTCACTTGCGGCCCCTGCTAATTGAACGAGTGCCTGGGACAACAGGCAGTCAGATCATACGGCAGGTAATGAATCTGGTTTTTCACTGCTACTTTCTAAACATCTCCAGTCTTAGCGTGAATGAACATTGTTTTCCTGTATTACACTATACAGCTATGGAAAAAAAACAATTGAAAATTTTCTCAGGATTTCCTGTATTTATTAGGTTTGGGTTTTTGAGAATATTTAATTATTCCTGCAAATATTGCTTTCTTAACTCATCTGACTTTAAGTTATTGTTATTGTGCTGTTTAAAAATATTTAATATAATTAATATAAATATCTAATGACGCTTGTTTTGTTCTTTTATGGACAGTGTTTTTGTTTTAAATTTGTAAGAAATTTCAAGTTCTTTACGGAATATAATAAACAGAAATAGGTGCTATGTTTATATTATTAATTAGACAAAACAATACCAATGTTTCAACTTCAGAACTGTGCAGAATTCAATAATCAATACTTGGTTGAATAACTTGTGTGTTTCAATAAAAAGAGAATCATCACGTGAAAATGTTTGATTTTCTGAAAATAAAACCTTAATGTAAAATGGAAGTTGCTGCAGCTTTTATTACAGTATGATAAGGTATTTCCAACTGAAAAATCAATATTAAGGTTTTTATTTTTGCACGTCTTTCACTAGCAGCAAACTAACTTTCGGTAGGGTGTGGCAAAGCATATTTCATCCAGGTCATCAAACTGACGTCATCTATAAGCACTGCTTTTCCAGTGCTTTTCTAGAAGCAAGTGGTCAGATTATGATTAAAGATTACCAAGATTTTTTTTTTTCTCCAGTGGATTAACTTGCAGGCATTAAGAGATTATTTTAAGACTGACAATCTTAATGAAAAGGCTATAACTTTGTTTAAAATTCTAAATGGTAGCATAAATAAACATTCTTTTTATTCTGTCAAAACCACCATAGCCTCGTTGCAAACCCAGCCCCATGGGAGTTAGGGCATTGTCTTACCGTGCACCCAAATTTGGAATGCTCTTCCCAGTTCCATCAAACATTAGGAATGCTGGTTCCTTAAACTGTTTTGAAAAGCTACTTAAAACTCATCTTTTTAGGGCTTTTTAAAACAATTTTTGATATTCTTACTGCTTTTTACTGTATTTTTTGTTGTTTTACTGTGCTTTTGTTGTTTTTTATTGTCTTGTAAGCGCTTTGGATCTTAGAAAAGCGCGTTATAAATAACATTTATTATTATTATTATTATTAGTCATATCTCTTTATATGCAAATGAGATGCTGCTCTCCTGCCCCTCTCTGAGGTTGTTTTAACCTGCCAATTCATGCTTGAGGCACTAAACCAGCACACCACACACAGCGTTCAAACAAACCTTAAGCTTCGGCTTACTTTGTCTGAATGACTGACATGAAGAAGAGTTTGAAGCTATTTCCCCATTATCATGACAAAATGTGAAGTCACTTGGTCTCCACGCTCATAATCCTCGCATGTAATTGATCATTGCTTGACATTGCAGCCCACCATTATTAATGTAAAACATATTTAAACAAATGTCTGTACATATCAAAAGTGACCCTGTTGCATTTACCAAATGCTCAGCTGCAGTTTCTGTGGTTAGTGTGTGAAACCAACAACACCACGCCAAGCTCTGCGCATGAAGGATGTAAGAATGAACTCAAACTGACATTTGCTAACTGTAACCAAACATAACACGAATAAAATTTAAAGATGTACTTGCGTCTTTCAGACAAATTGTAGGTACAGCTACATCTAATTTTGATGCGAGTCCAGCTTTGTCAATCCAATCTCATAAAATAGTCTGATGAAAAATGGGTTGGACACACAAACACCTTTTTGCCCACTATTTCTGGAGCATTCCTTTCTTATATAAAACTAATTAATTTAGGCAATATTCAGTTCAATTAATCTTTTTTTGTATAGCACTTTTACAATGTAGATTGTGTCAAAGCAGCTTAACATAGAAGTTCTAGGAAATTTAAAACTGTGCCAATCCAGTTTTCATAGTTAATGTTCAGTTTATTCATTCATTCATTTTCTTGTCGGCTTAGTCCCTTTATTAATCCGGGGTTGCCACAAAGGAATGAACCGCCAACTTATCCAGCAAGTTTTTACGCAGCGGATGCCCTTCCAGCCGCAACCAATTTATGGGAAACATCCACACACTCCACACACACTCATACACTACGGACAATTTAGCCTACCCATTTCACCTGTACTGCATGTCGTTGGACTGTGAGGGAAACTGGAGCACCCGGAGGAAACCCATGCGAACGCAGGGAGAACATGCAAACTCCACACAGAAACGCCAACTGAGCTGAGGCTCGAACCAGCGACCCAGCAACCTTCTTGCTGTGAGGCGACAGCACTACCTACTGCACCACTGCTTCGCCAATGTTCAGTTTAGTGTGGTTTCATTTTCACTGCTGAAAGGCCAGACACTGAAGGGCAAATCCATCGATGCGCAGCCATGCAAACCAAGCACGGTTAGTGAACGATAGTGAAAAAAATAAACATCAAGAGAAACCAGGCTCAGTTGAGCATGACCATTTCTCCTCTGGCCAAACGTCCTGTGCAGAGCTTAAGTCTAGGTGCTGGAGAACACTGGACCTACATCGTGGAGAAACTGCATGTGTGTGTGAGTAGGTCACCAGCGTGTGTACAGGCTGGCCCTTCTGAATCAATGCAGAAACTTGTCTGTCACTGGGGTCTTTCTGGAGTCAGTCTCATGCTCTCCACTCCTCCATGACCACCACAGCATCTGCTCAGATGCAGGATTACTGAGACCTCGGGATAATGACAAACAGACTAACATAAGCGCAGATGCCGTTCAAATTATAGTCTCTATTGGGTGTCTCTTCTCTAAGTAATCTCTAAGTGTTCCTGGCTATGAATAATATAACCAACTCAACTCGGTAATATGTAACTAACTCGAAAGGCAATACTGTTAGCTGCTTTGCTATCTGTTTACAAATACATAGTCCATAGTTTGCTTGGAGGCAGGCACAAGAAAAAGTAGCTGATATAATGATGATTTTTATTTATATATGATTATTTCCTGAGCTGACAGACACAGCACAAACCCAAGAACACAAAACACACACACACACACACACACACACACACACACAAAAAGTATCTTGTGTCACTGATGTAAATTATCAAGTCAGTCCAGAGAAACCAAGGTTTTTCAAGTGGTCTCTTACTTGTGAGTTTTTAATAGCCGTATATGCAGATTTGCAGTAGCTGACTACCAATATACATGCAGTCAATTTAACTAATCTTCTCCAACCTCTCTCAACCACAGCATATCTTGTCTCAGCTGCGATCGCTGTCAGCTGGATGGACGCTAGAGGAGAATGACTTTGTTTCATCCACCCCTAAGGGTGATGTGACCTTCACCAATCTGCTGGCAGTTCTGGACCCCTCGGCTCCTCGCAGGCTCCTCTTAGCATGTCACCACGACTCCAAGATCATTCCAGCAGACCCCAAGAACTCCAAGCGGGTGTTTGTGGGTGCCAGTGACTCAGCCGTACCCTGTGCCATTATCTTAGAGCTGGCCTCCGCTCTGGACAAACAGCTTAAAGCTCTCAAACAGCAGGTAAGCAACTCTTTCCACACAATCATCAGGAACAAGATTATTTTCGGAAACATTTGAGGACATTCTGAAGAAGAATGAGCTGCATCTGCATATCTTTAAGTCAAATTAGGGACATTTTTTTAACCCTTTTTTTTTCTTTTTTTTTTAAACGTCAGAGTGGGTGCAAACATTGGAACTTAATTTTCTTCAAACTTCTGGTCTCATTCACTTCCATTTTGTTCATGCATTCATTTTCCTTCAGCTTAGTCCCTTATTTATCAGGGGTTGCAGCGGATGCCCTTCCAGCACAACCCAGTACTGGGAAAAAATCCACACACTCCCTCATTTACAATTTAGTTAATCCAGTTCACCTGTACCGCATATATTTGGACTGTGGGGAAAGCCGGAGCACCTGGAGGAAACCCAAACAGGGAGAACATGCAGACTCCACACAGAAAAGCCAACTTGCCCAGGGGGACTTAACCTAAAAACCAACAGCGATGTTACAGTCCAACTTTTGTTTTAACATAACTTAATTCTTTCATGAGTTATTTACAAGTTTCTGACCACTTATAAAAGGTGTTGCTCACAGTTTGTGAAGAGTGGGAAAAGAGGCTTGCGTTGACAATCCAACACAATGGGCAGCACATTGAAAACATTTTAGAAATGGTCAGAAACTTGTAAATAACTCATGAAAGAATAAAGTTGCATTAACACCATTGTTTTTCTTGTGAAATTCCCAATAAGTTTGATGTGACAAATGACCCTCTTCCTATTGAAAAAACTAAAGTTGGATCCAAGATGGCCGACTTCAAAATGTCCACCATGGTCACCACCCATCTTGAAAAGTTTGCCCCCTCACATATACTAATGTGCCACAAACAGGACGTTAATATCACCAACCATTCCCATTTTATTAAGGTGTATCCATATAAATGGCCCACCCTGTAGTTACTTTTTTAGGGAGTAACTCAATACTGTAAGGCCTTACTTTTAAAAGTAACTTTCCCCAACACTGCTAATAATTAAATAATTAACATTCAATGTTGGCACGTTCACCAGATTTTTCCTACCATGCACAATATACTGTCCAGCATTCACATCTGAAGAAAACAGAACACCGTAACAAAAACTCTTTGCTCACATGGACATGTATTTCATTTAAATGTGAAATGTTTAATGATTCTCCTTATTATAAATCACTGATTCTATTTACTATCCTGCAAAGATGTCTTGGATTATTAAGGTTAACGATGGATTGATTTGTTTTAATGGCAATCGATCATGGGAATGCATAGCAGTTGACATCCCTTTCCACAATTCATCACAGTTAATCCATTTGCGTTTCTCTGCAGAGGTCTGCGGTGACGCTGCAGCTGGTGTTTTTTGATGGAGAGGAGGCGTTTGAGGAATGGACAGACACAGACTCTCTCTATGGCTCTCGTCATCTGGCTGAACTGATGTCTCGTACTCCTCACCCTGCTGGATCCACCAAAAGTTCTCTTTTACAGGCAGTGGTGAGTATTCATGTGTGCTGGAATCAGTCGAAACCCCAAAACATAATTCTTTTTTAATGTGTACATTAGTCTACATACAGTTGAATGCACTTCCACTGTGTGCTTCATTTGATGTTATGTGCACCAGATCGATTTATCTTTGTACAGTGTTGGCAGATTTTATTGCCTTTAAATATATACATATCTTAATGCTCTTACACAAGAAGTCATCAACAAGGGTATCAATTATGTTTTTTTTTTGGTTTCCTCTTTTTTGGTAGCATGTTGTTCTTGTTTCATCCCCTCTAAGTCTTTTCAGACTGTGAAAAAACATATTGGTTCAGTGTTGACAACTTGTATTCAAACTAATTTCCTTTGTCCAAGCACACTTGGAAACACATTTATGAGCTGTAATCTGATATGCATTCTTAATGCTGCGTTCACACCAGACTCGGCACGCGCGTCAAGCGCGAGTGATTTCCATGTTAAGTCAATGCAAACGCGCGAATAGACATCCTGCGGTGCGATACGCGCGAATGGCGCGGCGCGAATGATGCAAATTTCTGGATGCACCTCTGAAAGAATGTAGTGGACTCAGACACGACCCTAAACGTATCGACGCTGTTTTTCAGTCTTCATAAAGCACATAAACACTGTTATTTTCTTCATAAAATCCATGTTAGCCATTTAGCTATGAAGCTAGAGTCTTCGGGCAGACAGAAGCCCTGCCCATCACGCGAATCCGCGTCTGTTCTGATGTGAATTTGACACGCGAATGAAGCGGGGTTTGACGCGCGTATGAAGCGAGAAACCTCAAATGTTGACGCGGCTATTTACGTGCGAATAGCACGATTTATCCGCGCGTTCCGCGTCTGGTGTGAACACAGCTTAAGGCATTAAGATTTGCTTAAACACATTGATAGAAAAATCATATAATAGCAAGGCATCAGCTTTATATATAAATACATGATTGCAATGGCGATTTGAACATGAAATTATAAATATTTTAAAGAAATAATTATTTTATAGTTCTTCCATTACCGTTTCATTTGTTGTTTTACTGTTTCAAGAGTTCACACTTAGCTGATGATTTATAAAAGCTTGTTTGGCATGCTGTCCCGGGAGAGAGCCCCGAGCTCAAGGACTCCTCGAGTCCGGGGCTTCCTCCCTTTTGGCAGAGCAAGAGGGGAGCCTGAGCTCGGTGTATCTCAGAACTCCCCTGCTGCGGTAGCTAAGGGAACACGAAGGTTAGATAAATGCTTGGTTGTTATGCATGTTGAATGTCTTTGGATGGTGGGAGGAAACCGGAGAACCCGGGGAAAACCCACGCGGACACGGGGAGAACATACAAACCCCTCACGGAAACACCAGGGGACACTGTGGGACCAGGGCTGGTAGTGTTCTTGCTGTGGGGCTCACAGTGCTAACCACTGGGCCGCCGTGTTGCCCAGTCAGAGGTAAAGGAGGAGAAGAGGGGAGGAGTGGGGTTTCTTCCAAATGAAGATAAAATGGAATGAAAACTGGGGTTGTTTATAGTAGCTTAGGGCTCATATGATTGGAAGATACTGATTAGCAAATGCGAGACTGGCAGTGATAAATCATAAGCACATAATCCTCTCGAAATTAGTTTATGAATAAACTTCATTTAATAGTAATTTTGCAGTAGCATGCACAGTGGTAACTTCATCACCTTTGTTACAAAACATACACATAAAATTTACTTGTTATTAGTAAGATTACAGTAATATGTACTTTTTTTTTTACTATAATAGTTACTATAAATTTAGAAACTTTTCATTTTCCAGGACCTGTTAGTTCTTTTGGACCTGCTGGGTGCCCCAGAACCACTGATTGTCAATCATTTTGATAATACAGCAAGGTGGTTTGACCGACTGATCGCTGCAGGTATGCATTTAAAAGAACTCTGATTCTCTTTTGTCTACAAACACTACAACTGTAGTGATCAAACCTTCTGTCTGACTTTCAGAGAAGAGACTCCACAAACAGGGTTTGCTGACGTCTCACCCATCAGAACAGAGTTACTTCAGGAAGGATTTTTATCTTGGTCCAGTGCAGGATGACCACATTCCATTCTTAAACAGAGGTGCGCAAACAATCATTGCTATGGTGTCACTTAAATAAAAAAAGTTCAAATGTTCAGAATAATAAATCCTTGATGTAACTTAATATAATTTTGACACATTTCCAAACAGTATAATGATGTCATTAGCTTGGAACTAAACTCATTTTGAACCAATGAGTTTAAATCTCTGTCGTTTGAATTGTCTTGTGAATTTCACGTGGATGCAGTTGACCCTTGAGCAAATGAATCAAAATGTCATTTAAACAACTAAAATGTTCTGTTAAATGATGCAGCTCAAAACTAAAAACAACTTTAGTAACATTTATTGTTTGTAACAAATGGGCAAGAAAAAAAGACTGATTTGAGAACTGGCATTAGCATGGTTTTTGTTAACTAAGTTTAAGCACCAATCATTATAGATGTTAAAGTGTTAAATTCGACCAAAAATAACAGATTTGTTTAATTACTAATCCTTGTATTGTTCCAATCCCCTGAGATTTGCGTTCATTTTCACAAATCGAGATCTTTTAGATTAAAACTGAGAGCTCCCTCATTCTCCATAAGCCCCTTTTACACAGTAATTCCCGGAATGACTTTACTGGTAAATTAAGATTAGATTAGATTCAACTTTATTGTCATTTCACATGCAAAGTACAATGCAACGAAATGCAGTTTAGGTCTAACCAGCAGTGCAATAGCAGCAAGTGCTGGATACAGGTATAAGTTATAAAGTGCAGTGATAGAAGAACTATGGTGATATTTACAGATGGATGTATTTTCAACATTATATACAGGTTGTATTAGCTATGAACAGAGATTTACAACAAATGAATATATGTAAATCTTTGTTCATAGCTAATACAATTCATAAATGCGCTGTTCACACAGGTGAGGACATTTCGGATTTTTTCTGAAAAAGACTATTCAAACATCGATTCCAAAATACCATTAAATTCTGACATCATTACCAAGAAATGACCTCTTAACGGCTGCGCTTGTATTTGATTAAATTACAAACTCTGTGGATGGATAAGTGTTGTGAACAACTTCGATGAAAACATGTAGAAAAACACTTTCGCATGTCGAAATGGACATAATATGTGTGTGTTGGCGCTCACCGGCTGCTTCAAGGGCACACGTGATAAGTCAAGCAACTGAAGGAAGCAGAGCTTGAAGGTAAACAAACAACGGCTTATCATAAGCATCTTATAGATAATTATTTACACAGTTGGCATTAAGAAGGAACATTGAAACATGATCTGACTAACAACTAGCAGCTAAATGTGTCTGGAAAAATATTGAAAGGCTTTTATCTTCATAAACAGCACTGATGTGAATGTGTCTCAGTGTTCTGATTGGCTAAAGTAGATGTCTCATGTCAGTGTGTTCTAGACATAAACACAGTCTTTCCGGCAATCTTCCTTCTGCTTTCACACAGTGCAGGATTCCGGCATATTACCGGTAATCTTACAACTTCTCTTTTTGGAAAATAGCTGGAACGAATTTACTGGTAATTGCCGGTAATTTTCCAGAAAGGTCTGTATGCCATGATGATAGTAAATAATATTGCACTAGATATTTATCATGACACTTCTATACAGCTTAAAAGTGACATTTAAAGGCTGAACTAGGTTAATTAGGTTAACTAGGCAGGTTAGGGTAATTAGGCAAGTTATTGTATAACGATGGTTTGTTTTGTAGACTATTGAGAAAAAAAAAAAAAGCTTTAAAGGGGCTAATAGTATTGACCCTAAAATGTTTTTTTTTATTTTTATTTAAAAACTGTTTTTATTCTTTTTGAAACAAAGCAAGTAAAACTTTCTCCAGAAGAACAAAACATTATCAGACATAATGTGAAAATGTCCTTGCTCTGTTAAGTATCATTTGAGAAATATTTAAAAAGAAAAACAAATCAAAGGGGGTTTAATAATTCTGACTTCAATTGTATCTGCAAATCGTTGTTTCAGCACTAGGGGTCCATTCTTCGTACATGGATTACTCAGTTAGCTGGATTTGGTTATTGACGATTTGACATGATCCAGGATTGTTTTGTTCTTGGTGTTGTCATAGCAACAGTTTTGTTAGCTTAAACTTGCTCGGGAGCAGGCCTATTTCATATAAACAGGATTAGATCAGGTCATTCAAGCAAAGGTAATACTGTAAGAATGTCAGCATTCGGTACATACTTAAAGTCGTAGTTATAAACACTTATGAAAATTGGAGAAAATAAAAATATAGTTATAGTAATGTAGTTTCAGTTTAAAGTTTAAAAATATAAAATAAAACTTCTAAACTGCACTGCAAAATAAAAGTACAAAGACTGTCACAGGGTGGTTCTCCCCAAGGGGTTCAAAGAGAACGTTTATTAATATGGACTTTTTAGATAAAAATGCGTACTATTTTAAGGTACCAGCTTTAGAACAATTTGTGTATAATAATAGACATGCACAATATTCAACAGTTTTTTTTTTTTTTTTTTTTTTAAAGGAATAATCATTTATGCAGTCATGCACGTGTTTTGACAGCTAATATGATGGTGAATTGATGCTTTGCAAAAGCTGCAGACACCTTTACCGATATTAAAATGCTTTTTATGATGCAAAATTAATGTATACAGCCAGTTATTCCTTACACCTTGCACAGATTAAGAAACTAGGCCTAGATGACTATAATAAAGAAAATCCGCTCTAAATGTAAAACCAAATAAATTGCTAAATACTCTTGACAGATGAAAGTGAGAAGCCTGCAGTCCAAAACAAAGGTGGAAAATTATTGCATATAATATTTAATACACCATTTACTACGAGTTGTATGTAATTTTGCTTCCATGGATAAATGAATATTAATCAGATGATGTCATCACGCTGCTGTGCAATCAGCCAATCATTGCATTGATCATGATTTCAAGGATAAATAGATCTGTCCTTCAAAACACACGCAGCAATCTCAGATCAGTTTATCCAGACATTTTAATATGATTTACAAACTTGTTTGAAGAACCAAATTAGCCAGAGATCAGTCATCAATCTTAGATCATTTAAGCAAGGTAAGAAGAATGTCTTTGATTTGAGAACTCTGTAAAAAACTCAGAATGCAGAAATTTCATGATACAAGTCCTTAAAACAGACAATGAGTCTATTTATTTTAATTTGAATAATACATCACAATATGTTGTAAAGCAAATGGATCTGACCAGATAAATTTGCTTCGTTTGTGCCCCCTTAACCAGGTGTCCCCGTGCTGCACTTGATCCCCACACCGTTCCCCGTGTTCTGGCACACACTGGATGATGTAGAGGAGAGGATGCACAGGCCCACAGTGGAAAACCTCACTAGAATCCTGGCCATCTTTGTGGCTGAGTACCTGAGCCTCTAAACATGCTGTAATGTTCATTCTACAGCAGACGTTTAGTCACATGACCACATGTTGAATGTAGCCACTGTAAATAATGATGATAATAATAGAGCCATACATCATAACTACCAAAGAGGCACACAGTGTAATGATGTGTTTATTTGGAGTGTGAATGGTACATGCTGATTACATTCATATATTTTTTCTGCTGAAAAGAGCCATATGTCATAATAGGACAAACACTCATGTTACGGCAGCTGTAAAAGGCCTAATCTCATCCTTAAAGAGACTGTTAGACCATCATTTTGTGCTTTGTTTGACTTCAGAGTCAAGTTGAAGTTTTCATTCAGTTCATTAATCATACTTTGTGAAGTATGTGCTGATAAACTACATTATAAATGCATTTGCATTGAAACTGCATTCAGGAAAGCCAGCGGTGCTGCACTTCACATGAAGGTCAGTACACGAGAGATTGAGAGATGCTTGTTTTAAGAATCTGTAAGAAGCATTACATGTGTTTTAAGAGAAATAGAGCTGATTTTGTACATTACTTAGTCAATGAGCTGTTACCACTTTAAACCAAAAGATCAAGTGAAGGGTCTGATGGAGATTCCTAATAAACTTAAGGAAACACTGAAAATGAGCCTCTTGAATTTAATCGTTCTAGAAAACACACTGATAATTGGCCCTTTGTTGAGTTACAGTGAATGAAACTGATACACATTACAAAAGTAACGACAGATCTTTTGTGTGTTGTGATGCATTTAAATTAAGTCATTTACTACAGGAGTTCCCATACTTTTCAGCCTGTGACCCCCAAAAATAACAATGACACTCATTTGTGACTCCCAATATTCTCCGAGGCGGTTATTGATATATTATCCTTGCACACATACCAACGGGCCCAAGTCTATTTATTGTTTAATTTTGTAGAACGCCACTCAGAAACCATCCCCCATGTTCAGTTGTGGCCTGTATTTATTTTTAATGTGCATGAGTGCCATAAAGGTGTCAGAAAGTTTAACCTGGTGCTATAAAATCAATGTGCTGCACCTGACACTATTGCTGTCTTTAATATAATATAATATTATATTATTATTAAACCACCCCAGGGGTCACAAAAACTATTTAAATGCTGGTGGCTTTTTATTTGCATGTTGTTTTAAATGTTTATTATTAACATGTTAACAATGTTACTATAAACTATTTTGTTCTTCAGTAGGTTATGGATAAATATGGTCATTTTCTAATAGTTTATTAAATCCACTTTGGGAACCACTGATTTAGTAGATGCTTTTTTCCAAAGCGACTTGCGATTGTGGAGACATTCAGCAATTCAACAAGAAAAATCGATACACATAAGAAGGGCTAATTATACAAAGGAACTGTTAGTGCTCAGAGAATTAAGCACTAAAGTGGGGTGGGGAGGGTGTTTGTTTGTTTGTTTGTTTTAGAGAGAGAAAAGTGTTTCTACAGGTGGTTTATCAATCCCACTCACTGCAAATTTGATTAAAACAGATTACCGGAAAGATTGGAGAGAATGTGAAACTGTGATGATTGGGTAAATTAGCCATTAGTCATCAGGAAAATGTCTGTAGCTAAAAATAGAACTTGCATGGATTATTATTTACGGTCAATAAAATAGATTTAAAAAATAGAGTACAGCATGCTTATAAACACCCATACCATGTGTCAAAGACAAGACATGCAGTTTTGGTGTTCCAAATACAAAAATATTACAAACTGATTTTACATAAATATAAAGCATATTCAATTATGGGTGAAATAGTGCCCCGTCCTCATTAAGGAAAGCTCCTAATGCTTATAGAAATGTAATTAAACAGCATACAATTAAATATATGTGAAATAGTTGAAATGTACAACTGTAGTACATCTTTTTTTTTTTTTTTTATTATTTGATTATTGAATACCCATTTTTTTGTCTTTGACCTACACTCACCGGCCACTTGACGCAAATTTCTAATCAGCCAATCACATGGCAGCAGCTCAGTGCATTTAGGCATGCAGACATGGTCAAGATGACCCACTGCAGTTCAAACTGAGAATCAGAATGGGGAAGAAAGGTGATTTAAGTGACTGAGTGTGGCATAGTTGTTGGTGCCAGACGGACTGGTATGAGTATTTTAGAAACTGCTGATCTACTGGGATTTTCACAAACAACCATCTCTAGGGTTTACAGAGAATGGTCTAAAAAAGAGAAAATATCCAGTGAGTGGCAGTTCTGTGGGTGCAAATGCCTTGTTGATGCCAGAGGAGAATGGCCAGACTGGTTCCTGCTAATAGAAAGGCAACAGTAACTCAAACAACCACTCAATGCAACCAAGGTATGCAGAAAAGCATCTCTGCACGCACAACACATCGAACCTTGAGGCGGATGGGCTACAGCAGCAGAAGAACACACCAGATTCCACTCATGTCAGCCAAGAACAGGAAAATGAGGCTACAATTCGCACAGGCTCACCAACAATGGACAATAGAAGATTGGAAAAATGTTGCCTGGTCTGATGAGTCTTGATTTCTGCTGCCACATTCAGATGGTAGGGTCAGAATTTGGTGTCAACAACACGAAAGCATGGATCCATCCTGCCTTGTATCAACGGTTCAGGCTGGTGGTGTAATGATGTGGGGGATATTTTCTTGGCTCACTTTGGGCCCATTAGTACCAATTGAGCATTGTCAACACCACAGCCTACCTGAATATTGTTGTTGATCATGTCCATCCCTTTATGACCACCGTGTATCCATCTTCTGATGACTACTTCCAGCAGGATAATGTGTCATAAAGCCAGAATCATCTCAGACTGGTTTCTTGAACATGACATTGAGTTCACTGAACTCAAATGGCCTCCACAATCACCAGATTTCAATCCAATAGAGCACCTTTGGGATGTGGTGGAACGGGAGATTTACATCATGGATGTGCAGCTGACAAATCTGCAGCAACTGCGTAATGCTATCATGTCAATATGGACCAAAATCTCTGAGTAATATTTCCAGTACCTTGTTGAATCTATGCCATAAAGGATTAAGGCAGTTCTGAAGGCAAAAGGGAGTCCAACCCAATTCTAGTAAGTTTACCTAATAAAGTGACCGGTCAGTGTAAAATGCCATTCACTGTGAATTGTGCTGGTGTTTCAGTTTTACTTACTGGAGCTCCAGAATGAACTTTCGGTGAAATTGTATTGTCATTTAGTAGGGTTGAATGATGCTGCAAAAATCTGACAGTGCAATATTTAGTTTTTCTGCTGTATAGCTCTATTTAGAAAAAATTCTTTCCTTATATTGATTAGGACTATTTGGTAGGGGAGCGACTCATGCATAAAATCATAGATAAATGGAATAGAGCAAAAGATGGAAATGAAATAAACAGTTCTTTTCTGGGGAGTCTAACAGTATTCAGAAATTGAATATTCAAATTTAAAATAACTGTGTTGTCTTTATTGTATAAATAATTCATTAAAATACACCTTTAGTAAAGTTCTAACTGCTATTATTTGTTGTGCCTGAATACTTTAATCTCAGAAGCATGCACAAATTATCAAATTTCACTCCATTATTACACTACAGCGACTCCACAAATCTCATGTTTTCTGAACTCTTGCTCTTAGTCAACTGTATTCCAACATATAAACTCAACACAAACATGCTTGCAGCACATTAGATTGCTGTTGTTTGACCTGTGTTCCAGTGCACTCAATAGTGTGCAGGTCCCAGATGGCGGAGAGGAGGTGGGTGGGCAGAGAGCTGCTGGGAGCAGGAGAACAGTGTTCTGGGGCTTCCTGGAGGAGAGATCTCCTCATCTGAACTCAAGAACGCTCCTGCTGAAGTTCTGCTGGAACAAACAGTATACAATCTAAAACATGCCATACTGAGGTCAAGTAGCAATAGAAAAGTTTTAATTCTTGAGTAAAATTATTTAATTTTTCAGTTTGTTGGCACATCCAGCAGAGGGCAGCCAGAAACCAATGAAAGAACAGAAGAACAGCTCTCAGCCATTTAGATTCTTGTCCGTAACAATATTTAGGCCCCATCAACAGTTTTTTTTGTAATTTAAAATGGGGGTTTTAACCAAGAGCACATGAACACCGTGAAGACTTCTATTTGATGTTTGTGTTTACATCTAGAAGATGCTCATCTGCGACACATCTATTGGACGTCTCCTATCAGATGTTAAATAGACATTTGTATTTAGGATGTTTTAATTAAAACAGACCTTTTAAAAACGCCACTCCTATTTTATACACAGATGTTTTCCAGACTAAATGCTTTACAAATATATTTTATTTTCATATGTGTGGTAATTGTAGAATACTCGTATTATCAAATAATGTGGAATATTGTTAATCGACATGCAAAAAATGACCACAAGGCCTATTTACGAAATTATTAATAAACGTCAGTAGCCTAAATATAAATTCAGCAAACTAGCTACTCAAATTAGTTGACTGACAAGTTTTTGTCCAAGTAGGATATATCTAATAGCTGCAAGAATATAAGACGTCACATTAAACAGCGTCAAAGCCGTATTCTTTACATTTAAATAAAAATGTTTAAATGTTTTGACGTTTCTAACACATCGTTCAATGATGCCGTTTTTAGGAGTTTGTCTTACCCTTGGCGGCTGGTCGCAGCTCTGTCCCGCTGGCGGCGGTTCTTGAACCAGTTACTGACTTGTGTAGCTGTCAGTCCGGTGGCTGCAGCCAAATCTCGTTTTTCTCGCGGCGAGGGATACGGCTTTCTGCAGTACCACTCTCTCAGCACACTTCGAGACTTTTCCTGCCAGCAAAAAATATACACAAAAGCTTTTGCTATATCACTTCCAAGAGGACCATTTCGTGAAAACATCAGGTAGGCCTAACTTAAATCTGTGGTTCAGGGGCCTATGCAGGATTCAATAGCCGTAGTTTCTTTTACAGTCGATGCAGGACCCATTTAAAAAAATAACATTTCCAAATCTCTTCATACAGTTCTTACACGCTTTCAATTTTGGGACGAGTAAATATCACATTCAAAATGGACTAAAACGACCAAACATGTTTTAATTTAGGCCTACTAATTCTTATTACTCTTAGAATTTTTAATAACAAAAAACGCTTTCCAAACAAACACAATCCGTCCTTCACAAAACAACGTCTAAACTCTAGATAGGTATTATTACACAAATTTCTTGATGATAATGTAAGTTTAGCATTTACTAGGCCTACAGTAAAGGTCTTTTCTACGGCCCATACTATGACAAAATTGTTCTTTTTTGATGATGCAGAAGTGTTCATAAAAAAATTATTGTTTATTACTTTTTTGAGATTTAGACCACATTTTAATAATGGTACTGTATTAATATAGCAAATCCTATTCAGTTTTGAATTTTGATAGGTTTAAAAATGTTAACTAAACATTTTGGAAAAAGCAGTAAATGTGCATTTCAGAGTGTGAATACACATATTTGGTGAAAAAAAGTATTTCAAAAAAGATGGCAAGTAATAGTTATTAATTATTACAATTAATATAATATTTATAAACCATCCAATAAACTTTGTATTATTTATAAACGTTTTTAAAAAGTACATATAGGTTTAAGTGAGAACATAATTAATGTGACTGATACACATTTTCAGATCATAAAAGTTTTTGAAGTCATTAAAGGGATTGTTGACCCAAAACTGCAAATTTTGTCATCATTTAACCAATTGTTTCAAACAAAGTTTCTTCCTTCCATTGACCAAAAAATAAGTTATTTAAAAAAAGCAGGAAACCTGTAAACATTGAATTGCAAAATAAGTTTTTCCACTATAGAAGTTAATGGTTACAGGTTTCCAGCTTTCTTCAAAATATCTTTAGTAGGCATGGGTCGATAACCGCGGTTTGGAAAAGTCAAGGTTTTAAAAACTGTCAAAATTTTCTGCAATACCGTTCCTAAGGCATGTGTACTACTTTTTTTATTTACTTTTTTGCTTTTTAGGACAACAGTATCTCCAGCAGAAAAGATATCCAAAGATGTTGTTTTAAATTGTAAAGCAAAATCTGTTTTTGAAATAAACGAAGACAGCAGAGGTCAGTAATTCTTTTGAATTATTTAGCATGACATGTTTACTGTTCCAAAATATTTCTCAAAATAAATATATTGAGTTTTTTTTTTTACACAGACATTTAAAAACAATGTATTTTAAAGCAGTGATCACAATACTGTGAAACTGTGGTATTTTTATCCAAGGTTATCATACTGTCAGAATCTTGTACTGGCCCATGCCTAATCTTTAGTCTTCGACAGTAAACTCATAAAGGTTTGGAACCTCTTGAGGGCAGTAAATAGTAAATTGGGTTAACAATCTCTTTAAGTCTTTTTTACTTATAACGCTCAATTCACAGTTTGCATGGGTGTCAAAACCTATTCCTGAAAATTGACCTCCAACCCTAAACACACAATTAGTTATGGTCTTTAGGCTCAAATGGAACATCCATGCAAATTTGCTGAAGCTAAACTTCGTTTGCCATTTACCCTCCAGGAGCACGATTGTCCACCTGGACTGGTGGCCTAGCCCATAGACTACTCACTTTGTGAAGAGTTATGAAGTAAACTTATGTGCTAAACAAACTTTAACACCTTGAAGCAGTAGCTGGTCTCCTCTCCATCCCAGATGGTGCGAGGAAGAGGGAACTTGCGGCGTATGCGATACTTTCCCACAGCCCCAAGAGGGCGGCCCCGCTGCAGTTCAGCCTCCATGTAGTGAGCCCGGAGCCACAGCTGCTGGAGGAGAGGGTGACTGCGCGGGGAAAACACGTTACCCTCTAACAAGGCATACAGCTCTGTAAAACGGCAGTGGTGGAAGGCGACCGCAGCACGTGCTTTCAACACACTCTCCTGACTCTGGCCAAAACCCATATACATGTTGGATGATGTGGAGATTGAAGGTAAAGAGCATAAGAATGAAGACAAGCGATCCATGCTTCCACTTTGCAGAAGAACCTCACAAACACACGCCACCTGCTCAGGTGAGAAGCCCATCGCCATCTCTGGACCAAAGATCCTGAAAGGTCCCACAAAATTATGAGGAATTGTTGTCTGAGAAAGTTCTAAAATCAAATCAAGTTATAATCACAGCAAGCTTACAAAAGTCCACTGGAGGATCCCAAAAGAGAACGGAGACCTGCTTCAAATCCAGTATTTGACTCCACTTGGCGGCAAGCTTCTCAAGAATACATCTGCAGAAGAAGTGTGCGAAACCGAAGAACCTTCTGATGGGAATGCAGTGTAGAAACTCTCAGGTGATGGAGATCTCACAATAGTCCTTTTTGTTCTCTGGTGACGTGTTAGCCAATAAGTGCAGTCGATGAGTGTATCATTTGTTTTTTTTTTAGCTGGTTTTACCTTCTCTGGCCACAAAGACCCGCCCAGACAACTTGGTACATGCAGGTAATCGGAGAGCATAGGGGTTAAAAAAACAGACAGGCACCAGCACACACACATACACAGACCTCTCAGACTGTGTTGTTTGTATTTGTATCAATTACCTGGGGAAGATGTCAGGTGGACAAAGGGGTGTATTTAAATATGAAGGCAATCTTATTTCCTAATCAAATCAGGGTTCCAGCATTTGTTAGACAATTTGGTTAAAGATGGCATGGCTGAAATGTATACAGTATATTTATGCATGTAATGATGTGAAAGAGAACCACGGGTGGTTTGTAGTTGGTGGGGTAAAACAGTGTTACAAACATTTGAGACAAAGAACATGTAGATAGCATTATATACGTTTATTACATATCAAAAAATGGAATATAAAAAAATAAAATAACTATAAGGTACAAAACACACCCCTATAAAAAGAGATGCTGTTTACAATTAGGATGAAATCTCCCTTTACTAAATGAAATGATTAAAAAAAAAAAAAACGTCTTTGGTTTGATCAGCTGCATAATTTTTCGGGGTTTTTTACGTGAACGTGAAGCAAAAGTATTAAAAAGTGAACAGAACAAACATATATAATTCGGATGACTAAAATACATGTGCATTAACATAGTAATCATTACATTCTGGAAGAGTAATAGCAATACTCAGGGATAAACACAAACATACATGCACGCACACAGTCATTCCCTTACTTTCCAAAAAGTCATTGTCCAGGTGCTTGAAAGAAAGAAAAAATAACTTTGGCAAGTCAATGGAACAATTCAAATGTAACATACACGTGTAAAATACAAACACTTTCATAAAAATCTATGAAACGTAGATGCTGCTACACAAAGAAAACTCTTGTGTTATATCACAAAATGGAGTGTAAACCTAAACTACAAAATGTTAAAGATTATCATAGAATGACCCCGAAATGATTGATAGATGCATAAAATATTGTTCAACTAACTGAAACAGACGTACAAAGGTATAATTAAGGCTACTCTGCACGTAAAGATATCAAAATCTCACAGGCCTATCATTCCACAAAAGCCTTAAATGTGTGGTTGAATGGTTTTAAAAATAGCACCAGATTTTAGGGTCAGGGGGAAGAAAGGAGTAAATGCTTCATGAATAAAAACGATAAAATGTGCAAAATATACAGAGATGTACTCCGCATTAAACAAATTAGCCTGATGGTGATAATGACCTGTGTTGAAAAAGTCACACTTTTTTGTAGCTTGGAATCACCTAGACTAAATTGCATTTGATTAAAAATAAAGGGTAGGTAAAGGCATTTTCTGTGGTTATGTAGGAATTCCACAGTTAAATATATAACAGAAGTAATAAACAGGACAATTAGAACAAAACAAAAACAAGAAGAAACATTTCATTGTATCAGTACATGGTGAGTTTGTAGTGTAAGAAGTGGCTGTTTTCAACAGTAAACAAATCTTAAGAGTTCAGTTTTCATGTGGAACAGTTGCATAGACGATTCAGTACTTCAATTCCCTTTAAATGCAAGAACCTACATACAGTCTCATGTTAAAGGTTTGGAATGTCCATGAGTGGAAAACCAACATAATGCTGCGTTCACACCAGACGCGGAACGCACGTCAAGCGCGAGTGATTTACATGTTAAGTCAATGTAAACGCGTGAATAGACATCCTGCGGCGCGATATGCGCGAATGGCGCGGGGTGAATTAAGCGTTTTGCGCGTTGCTTAACAAGCGTTTCGCGCGAATGTCTCGATTTCGAAAATCTTAACTTTAGCGTACATTCGCGCCGCGTTAACCAATCAGAAGCTTGCTCTTGTGGGGGCGTGATTGTGTCGTAGAACCTGTTATCGGTGTTCCTAGGGAAATCCTCCAGCCTTCACTGACAACAGTTCATCAAACTCGGCTTGGCTCAGTCAGAAGCACCGCTGAAAGCCTCCGTCATCCAGGTTAAGTTTCTGGAGGAGTTTATGAGCTCACAGAGCTGGATGCACCTCTGAAAGAATATAGTGGACTCAGACACGACCCTAAACGTATCAACGCTGTTTTTCAGTCTTCATAAAGCACATAAACACTGTTATTTTCTTCATAAAATCCATGTTAGCCATTTAGCTATGAAGCTAGAGTCTTCGGGCAGACAGAAGCCCTGCCAATCATGCGAATCCGCGTCTGTTCTGATGTGAATTTGACACGCGAATGAAGCGGGGTTTGACGCGCGTATGAAGCGAGTATACTCAAATGTTGACGCGGCTATTTACGCGTGAATATCGCGATTTATCCGCGCGTTCCGCGTCTGGTGTGAACACAGCATCATGTTTCCAAGTACGTTTTTGATTTTACCAAAATGTACAAGGGTTCCATTGTCAGCATCACCATCAAGAACATACTGCAAGATTATGTATACATTGACTAAAAGAAGCAACAGAAATAGTATGAGTGCTTCACTACATGTTCAAAGCGTAATGTTCAAATTCCAGGCACCTTGCCATCTTGAAATCTGACACTTGCTTAATATCTTTAGAGAAACTATTAAAACAGCACCTGAACCATGCAGGCAGTGATGATCTAGTACATCCAATGCAGTCACATTTAAAGGTTAATTTGTCAACAAGTCTCGTCTTCCACTGAGTATTATGAGTTTAATAAATCATACGTTTTGATTTTCCTCTCCCAGTGCAGTGTAGGGTCCTGTTGGTGCATTCAGGGACCTTTAAAAGGCACTTAAACAGGACAGCTGACGTTTGTACTCATTTCAGACTCGAGTCAACAAATTTCACACAAAAGATAACTGTTCTGAGATCAGTATAAACATGTATGTACCTCTAGGTTTCTCTCATTAGGTCTCTAGAAGGTAAACCTAATATTCCTATTTATTCTTAAAAGATAAAAGCACTGTTTGGAGTCCTTGAATCTAAAGAAGACAAGTAACAAAAATGTAAGGCACAAAAGAAGGCATTCCCACATGCTCTTCTATCCCAACTAAAACAATCTAGATTGCCTTTGAAATACGAGTGCCTTCTTACCACTCAGGGAGTCATGTAAGCCCTTCTAAAATGCATCAAGCTCTGTTTCTTATCAAAAAACAAGGTTAACTTGCACACACACAAACTTAGATTCCTAAAAGCGAAAATTGTGTGCACAAATTTCTTCAGCAAAATGTTTCCTCAGTTTTTTCCTCTACAACAAATACACCCGCTATTTTTAATTTTGCTGAAAGCATTGATTTCACAACCGAATTTAAAATCTAAGAAAGGTTTGCATTATCATCTTAATGCTAAACAACTGCAGCATTAACATTTGAAGTGAGGAAACACTCAACTTCTGGGACATGATTGAATGCAATTCATTCATGCAGAGATTTAATACTTGTTGCACATGGCCTCAACAGGCTGGCAGCTATAATCCCAGGTCATCATCCACAGGGACAGACTGCAGTTGTGTAAGAATTTTTGAATCCCCATCCATGTCGTCATCCAGATGAGAATCTCTCTCCATATCCTCACCCGGAGAAGGAGTGCCCAACAGGAGAGACTCTCCTCCTGGCAGGCCCAACAAAGCAGGGTCCTCAGGAAGTTCCCCTTTCCCACGCATGTCAAACAATGTCAGACTGGCGGAGGAGGACAGTGGGACAGGACTCCAGGCTGGCTGGGAAAGGTGGTGCCCAGTTACCACTCCACTACAGATTGGACTGAGTGATAACATGCTATCAGGGCTAAGGGCCTGCTGGGATTGTAGGATGCTTGTAGGCGTTGGAGTGCTGGAAGAGTCTGGGGTGTTAGGAGAGGCCCCTGGGGTTGTATTGGCAGTGGTCCCTGGTTCAGGGCTGCAATAAAGTGCAGAGGAGCCAACAAACGCCAAAGGAGATGATTGTAGTGAATTGGAGGTTTGAGCAATAAGTGGAGGTGCTGGTTGATTCTCAAGTGAATGTACAGTAGAGATTTGTGAATCAAGGTTACTGTTGCTTGAGACTGAATTGTCTGGGACGGACTTGACAGGCATGCTGGCAAACTGAATGCCAGCTGGGATAGTGAGTATAAGTTTGCCGTTTTGAACACTTAGGATGGGGCTGCTCCCGATGCCACCCGCTAACAGGATATTGCCTGGAGACAAACAGAATAAAGATCTAATTTAAGACAAAACAACACAAGAACAATTTTCCACTTCTGGTTAATTTGTATGGCCTACCTGGAGAGGCAGTTGGAAGCTTAATCACTCCAGAGTTGAGAAGTTGAACACCTGGAATGGTTCCGGTAGGGACACTCTGAGGAGGCCCTATCGGGCTCAAGCGTATTGGTCCCTGGGCAACACTTAAACCTGTTCCAGCTCCAGATGTTAGAATCTGGAAAGCACCTCCATGGGACGGAATGGATAGAGATGGAGTTGCTGGGACCACCTGAGGAAAGGAGAAGGTTCCAGTTGTTCCCGTAATGGATGATACGGGCATAAGTTGAGGCAGTGACAGGGGGACCATTTGGCTTGAGTCTTTGGTTTGAGATATGGGTACAACTTGAGTTGGGGAAGAGATGGGTATGACTTGTGTCCCTAAAGAGGTCTGTATCTGTGGAAGAGAGGCTAAAGTAGATTCGTTTCCTAGCTGAGGTGTTAGTACTTGTGTAACTTGTCCATCAGCAATCTGTGGGAGTGTTAAAGCACTGCTGGTGTTTAATGTAACTGAGCCATTCTGAGGCTGTGCTTGAGCAAGTCTTGGACCCATGTGAAAAGTCTGTGTCGGAAACTGGGGAATGGAGACTTGGGATAACTGGGGGTTGACTGGGGAGACTGGAACAAGCTGAGGGCGGGATGATACAGTGGTCCCAGATGGAGGCTGCATCAATTGAGATACTGGAACACCCTGTATTGATGGTACCACCTGGGGTAAAGACAGCACCTGTGGGCTAGAAAAAGAGCTGCAAGTTGACGACAGAGGTTCAGCCTTTCCTAATACAACAATTTCCGGTGGCTGTGTGGGCTGTAGTGGAACTACAGGACTTGAGATGACTGAACTCACAGAGCCAGGTATCGATGCAGATATACTATTTGGGGCCAGAATTCCTGAAGAAAGAGATGTAGAAGAGATGACAGAAGTGGAGATGGTAGGCAAGGAGATAGAGTTTGCAGGCACTGGGTGAGTATTATCTGTATTCTTTAAGGCCTCTGGAAGACTGATGAAATCCAGTGGAGAAACATTGCTACTGGTTGATTTTGTGTCCTCGCTAAGAGATAGAGGTATTGTGCTGGTTAGACTGGCTTGTGGATTTAGAACCACAGTAGTCAGGCTGCCTTGGGCCTCCAAATCACTAATGCCCCGTTCATCTTTGGAGATTACTTGAGCCCCATTAAGTAGCAATGGCGCATTAGCTGTAACAGGACTGAGTGTGACTGTGTGGCCATCGCTCAGTGTCAACCCATTAATGATGACCCCAGTTCCTGCCCCTGAGAGAATAGGGCTCCCATTGAGCAGCAGTGGATGAGGGCTTGTAAGGAATCCCCCAGGGCTGTTGAGAACAAGTTGACCAGTACCACAAGGAGCACCAGGGACAGATATGAGGGAAGCATTGGAGCTGCCCGTCTCTTGAGCAGCAGGTTTGTCAGTAATATCCTCCAGATCACCCTTGCTGGCTTCATCTTCTGTGCTGTGGTTCCCATCAGATTCACTAAAAAAAAGACAGAAACATTACATTTAGTTAAATGGTGAAAAAGCTTTTATTGCCTAGCATCAATTCTTAGTCCTCATTTTTTTGCTTGTTATTTGGGCAGAAATCTCAAGACCAGGGGTGTGCAAACTCGGTCCAGGAAGGCCAGTGTCCTGCTGATTTTATCTCCAATTTGCTTCAACACACCTGCAAGGATGTTTCTAGAGAGCCTTATAAGAGCTTGATTAGCTGGCCCAGGTGTGTCTGATTGAGGTTGGAACTAAACTTTGCAGGACACCAGCCCTCCAGGACCCAGTTTGGACATCCCTGCTCTAGACCACTGCCAATTTGCTGTGCATACTGCCACTGATACACATCTAACGTGTAGACCTGCAAGACAAACTAAAAACAGTGTTCAGTGTTACTTTTTAACAAAAACTCAAGTAATTTTTTTTACTTAAAGGAACGTCAAAATTAGTTTGGAAATTTCACAACTCCCTTGCTTGAGCCTCTGACCTTTTTCTTTCTCCAGGGACTGTGCCCTTTTATCTGAGGGGTTTATTGTAATTCGTTTTACTAATTATAAATCAATATATGTACATTTAAGGGTGCTTTCACACCTACACTTTTGTTTCGGAATGTGTCTCGATTGCCCAGTTAGCGCGGAAGCGCCAAAGTAATCACTCCGAGATTGCTTAAATGAGGTGGTCTCGGCTCGATTGAAACGAACCCTGGAGCGGTTCGATTGCAGTGGGAAAGCGATCCGATCCGAGCGCGGTTATATCACAGTGTTTTATGGATATGTAATAGGCATACGGCTATATGAAGAGAGATTTATGAGTATGGCGGGAAGTTTCGCGAGTCTCCGGATGCCCGCAAAAGAGTGATGATCTCCCGGTAATCTCGCGTCTCCCTCCCGGTCCTCAAATAGGCTTCGTCACGCACCCTTCTCACCCCTCCCCACCGCATCTCTCCTCAGACACATCGCGCGCGCACCCTGTCAATCACCATAAAACCGCCACCTCTCCTGACAGCTGAGCGGGACGCTGCAAAATAAACCCTGACACTCTGACCAATGTGAGGAGAGTTTACTCGCACGTGACTTGTTTTAGCTCTTTTGGTCCCATTAGAAACTTTGCAATGTGAAAGCGAACCGCTCCAAGAGCAAAGAGCAACAAAGTAACACTTGTAATCTCTGTTTCGGAACAACTGAATCGATTCACAGGTGTGAAAGCACCCTAAGTTAATATTTTGTCTGCGATTTGTGGACAGCTTTCCCTTACAATAAGATAAACATTTCTTGTTTAGCTACTCCGAACCAGCCATTTCTGCATGCGATGGGACTCTAAAGAGGACTCAACCATTCTAATATGGTGGTTACCAGAATGAAGTGTACAAGTAAAGTCTACCTGCGTAGCAATTCTAGCTGACCTCTATCACTGTAGTACACTATGATTGGCAGATCGGCTAAATTACATTCCTTCGTCAGTTGTCTTCTTTACAGTGTGAAGGTGAGAAAAGATTAACGAAAGACCCAAAGCAAATATTGTTAATTGGTCTCGCTAATATCCATGAAATGATGACATGAAATGTTAGCTAAGGTTTAGCCAAGGCAATATATCTTGGGCACATAGGCTAGCTTAATGAAGAGAAGACAGCTGAATAGTGAAAGTATGCACCTCTTTTGTCTAATGATTTATTCTGAACATATTATGTTAGGCTACTTAACACTAAAAACAAGGACAACATATGCTAATTGTTTCTTAGTCTGTTCTTGTGATAAAATTTGTGAATTCTAAAGCAGACCATGCAGGATGTTTCTGTTGAAACTTGAAATGAAATTAACATAAGGGTGAGGGAATAAACAAAATGTTTTGTTAAAGAGATGGTTCTTCCTAAAATGTAAATTCTGTCATCATAACCACTCCTCCTATTCCAAACCGCTTTCAGTTTCTTTATTTTCTTGAACAAACAAAACAGGAATATATTTCGATCCATGTTGTCTGTCAGTAGCCACTGACTTTTATAGTATTTTTCTTCTTACTATTGAAGTCAGTGTCCATTCTTCATTTTTTTTCAACAGAATGGTTTGGAACTACTTAAGAGTGAGTATATTGTAATTTTCTGTGTGTGAATTATCATTCAATATATTTATTTTTTTTAAATAAATGAGAAAAAGTGTTATTTTTTCCACTTCCCTTAAAATATCTCTGCACATACCTGATTCCTAGCCATATTGACCTAGAAAATAGCAACTTTTCATTTTTAGTCTTAGTACACAGTTACTCCATAAGTTTTAAGCTTTTAATAGTTTTATTCATTTTTAGTGAGATGCTAACGGTGTAATTCAATGATTTATGCCAAGCTAATCTAAAAGTGCTCCCGCCAGACCATGACATCGGCTGAGAGGATTCAAAAATAGTAAAACTCAACAATTTAACTCTAGGTGACGTAAAATGTGTTCCTTTAAACACCATTTATACTTCTGGCTCAAGTGTACACAGTTGTTATGATGCAGTCTCTGTGTAGTGGTATACCAGGATGCGCACATCCTGGTATACCAGAAACACAAAAGTATAAAATGCTTACAATACCAATCGTACTCATGCTAAACTATTCACCCAATGCAGAAGAATAAACTGATCTTTTGTTAACTTAAAGGAAATGTATAAGACGAATGTAAGAAAATAGTCATTCTTAAAATTACTATTAAATAGTTTATTAGCACACAACAAAATTGCTAAAATTCAACTGAGCAGGGAAAATAGGAAAACCATTTAACAACAGTTCTAACAATTAATATAAGTTCCTCAATGATACTGAAGTAACTGTACCACATACCATAATATATTTACATTTTTAACATGCCTACCAGTCGTCATATGTACGTCTGCATGCTCTTAAATGTGCAGCAACAAATAACAGAAAAAGAGAACATATTTACACATTTTCATCTTTGTTATAAACACCTACTGTAAACAGGAACTATACAGCAATTTATTGCAATTAATTATATAACACAATGAAAATATTGTGAATATGCTTTTGTGCAAAATGTGTGTGCTTTTAGGTAATAACCCCGCTTCAGAGATTATAATAGTTTCTATTGGTGTTAACTTATAACGAATTCTAATTATTGATAAATTATTAATTCATGCTTCATAGACCAAATCAAAGCCAGCCTTAAGAGTGATTAGCTTAAGTCTTGCAAATCTGCAAAATTAACAATATCAATAGCACTAACGATTTCATCATTACCGAGGTGGTGAAAAGAATTGTGAAAATGAAGGTAAAGTTGATTTTATATTCGCACATTCGTTCAGTGACAGCTTCATATAGTTTATTATAGTACTTTGAATGTTCAGGCTGAAATCACATGCTTGACTTTAAAACAACATTGGCACTATTAAATTGACTGTAAACAATGTTGTTTTTTGGTTGTTGGCTGCTAATATGGTTTCAATAATAATTTGCAATGACAACTTTTCTGAAATTATATTATTAAGGGGAAAGTCTAAATGTGCGAATATAAAATCAACTTTACCTCAATAGATTGAAACCGTGACCACAAGCAGAGGGCATCACAATGTTTTAAATTGTATTGAACTCTTTCACAGATTAGTTGTGGTTTACTTCCAGTACTCTGTGGGTCCAGTTTAAGTAGCCCACCCTTAAATCACATACATACTTATATTTAATTCACTATTCTCTCTGCCTTGAGATTTACAGGCCATGGACACAGAAAGATACTGTGGTGCAGGATTTCAGGAAACTCGAGCCACTCCTGGCGCCCCTATCTCACATTTCACAACAAAGCAACATGCTTTCAGTCTGTTTTCCGAGACCTCCTTGTCATTTACACTTTATCAATAAGTGTGCTATCAAGACAAACATCCCATCTTCACAACCTGCATCAGCCATTTGTTTATAAACAAACGCAAAGTTTCCATGTGCACAGCTTAAATATTTATTAAATACAACTCTGCCTTTATCTGTTGCACACTGGAAAAGTCCTTGAGGTAAAATGAGAATGTTAGCTTTATTCTATTCAGATGTCAAGATGACGGGTTGTCCTAATGTAAACCTCGCACACAGGAGAGGTTTGTTTACCGCTTTCCTCTCTCGGTTTGGCTCAAGAATGTTTCTTTTGGGCCTGAAAGACGTGCACTCCCAATTAAACACGCTTACCTTTTGCTGTTGGTACCGGACGGGGTCCGGTCCCTCTGTCGGCGATTCTTAAACCAGTTGCTCACTTGAGTCAAAGAAAGTCCGGTAACTTTGGCCAAATTCTTCTTCTCGGCCGGAGTGGGATACCTGTTGATCTTGTAACATTCCTTCAGAGCGTTGCGCGACTTCTCTTTGAAGCAGTACACCGTCTCCTCTCCGTCCCAAATGGTTTTGGGCAAAGGAAACTTTTTGCGCAGCCGATATTTATCCACGGCGCCCAAACTGCGACCCCGGGACCTCTCAGCCTCCTTGTATCGCGCCTTCAAGTAGAGGTCTTGCAGGAACCCATGGTTACTCGGGTGAAAGTCATGACTGTCCAGGATGGCGTACAACTCTTTGAATTCGTCCCGGTGGAAAGCGACCAGAGCCTGGGCCTTCAGCAGGGTCTCGTTGCCACGTAGCAGGTCGGCCGAAGGAGGGATGGTGGCGAGAAATCTCCACAGGCGATCCACATTGCCCGCTTGCAGGAGCGCTTCGCACAGACACGCGACTTGATCGGTGGAAAAACTGAGCGCCGAGTTCTGGAAGCTCTGCAACAGTTGTTCCGAAACTTCGTCCGGGTCCGTCTCCTCTTTCACTTTGGCTTCATTTTGCGCGCTCTCCTTTGGGCCGTTTTCAGTTTGTTCTGTGGACTCCAAAGACAAGGAAGCCATTTTTATTTTAACTTTTTTCCTTCAAGTTCCTCCTCCCTCCCCTTCGGTGTCTCTCTCCCATTCTCCCGTAGGCGAGTGAGCGCTGCAGCAGAGAGACGCGTCACGCCCCTGCGTTTCGTCAACCTCCCCCATCTACATCCACCAGCACACACACGCACTCACACTACAGGCCTGCTGCTTCAGTACCATTGTGCAATACTCTTTTTTCCAAAGCACATTTGTTTCACATTGGAAAATAAGCAATAAACACATTTAGATTTTGTTATAGCATGAAACTAAATCGCGTGCAGAAATTTTATTTATTGTTGTGCTTTATAAAAGGTTTATTGTTTCTTTCATTTTTTCATAAGTGAATGCTTTTAACATACGCAGCGAGCAATACGTTTTACATTAATGAATAACATTTAAATTGTTTTTTTTTTGTTTTTTTTTGCAATAACAACAGGCCATTACAACAAATAGAAATACAAAACCGATAGAATGAAAGTACAAGCAATATAAATATTACTTTTTTTGCCACAAGAGAAGTGTAACAATGTTAAAATAAATATGATAATAAAGGAAAATAAAGACAAAGAGAGAGAGAAAAAGAAAAAAATAATAAATGAGGGCACATGACAAAAATAAAACAAATTAATGCAGAATATTAAATAAAGCACATATTTTAAAAGGTATGTTTCAATTGCTTTCTTGTTGTGGACGTCTGTGATAGTTTTTAAATACAGTTCCAATTCTCATTTAAAAAATTGGCTTACATTGAGTATATTTGCATTTGTGTATGAAAAACTTTCCATTAAATAAAATGAGGTTTATGCAAAAAGTTGAATTTAAGGAATTGTTTTTCTTTAATATAAACCCCCAAAACATCATGTCTAGCATGAAGAAAAATCAATACAAACCTTTTGGACAATTTGAGAATTCACATCAGACCAGAAAGATTTAACAAAGGGACATTTTCCAAAACAAGCAACAGATTCAGAAGAAGTCTCAGAAAGAGCGAGACACGTTAATGTCATTTTTGAATTTTTGTAAAAATTGTTTAACTGGATAAAATCTGAATAATTTGAAAAGATATTTCTTTAATTTTATTTGTTAAAAAAATCTAGGGAGTGACCAAACATATATGACCATTTAATATCATCAAAGAGGTTGTTCTGATAAGAAATTACTTTTGAATTGTTTATGTTCTTTTTATTTCTCTAGAATTTAAGAGACACAAGTTATAATTCATGAATATATTCTTGTGGGCTCTATTTTCAATTTTATATCTCAATTAAAACTTTTGAATTCAGGATTGCTTTGAATGATTTCCTGGTCTAATGTCTACTATTTTTATTTTTTATTTCCTTACTCTTTGTATTTTATGATTATATTGTAAGGTGTCCTTTTTGAAAGGTACCTATAAATAAAAGGTATTATTATTATTATTATTATTATTATTATTAATGATATTATCTCTATTATTACTATTGCATTTGTAAAAGTTCAGATTAACGTTATGCATATATGATTTATAATTGTTACTCATGGTTAATTCAGTTTTTAATGAAACCTATTTGATTGTATGACTTCACATACTTTTTAAAAAGCTTATTCTGCTCATCAAGGCTGCATTTATTTGATCAATAATACACAGTTTAACAGTTTAAAAATGTTATTCCTTAAATTTTATTGTTATCCTTTTTAGTTTAGTAAGTTAAATGAACCCAAGAAACATTTCTTTTAAACCTAGCTAAAATATAATAAGGTATGGAAATGATTTATTACATAATATATATTTGTATTACAAATAATACATGTTATTTAAGATTCATTTGCGCTTTCTGTTTGTTTATGATTTTAAATGATGTCTGCTTTGACACTCTTGTTGTTAAAGACTTCACCATAGTTAATTTATGAAAAAAGATGTATTGTGTTTCCCAGTGATGGGTTGCAGCTGAAAGGGCATTTACTGTGTAAAACATATGCTGGATAAGTTGGCAGTTCATTCCACTGTGGCGACCCCGGATTAATAAAGGGTCTAAGCTGAAAAGAAAATGAATGAATGAATGTAAAGATGTATTGTATGGATTGGTTTGTAAATTATAATACAAGCTGTTAATGAAGTGCCAGTACGTTTTCTGTTATTTTATTATTTCTGTTATACATGATATTGTTTCAAAGCACAAAAATGTCAATAAATTCATTTTGTTAAACTACAGATTTTCATAAAGTTGACAGAAATTCATTCTTTCATTTTCCTTCGCCTTAGTCCCTTTAATCATCAGGGGTCGACACAGTGGAATGAACCGCCAACTTATCCAGCATTTGTTTTACATAGTGGATGCCCTTCCAGACGCAACCCAACACTGGGAAACATATACCTCCTCACATTTACACACTCATACACTACAGCCAATTTAGTTTATTCAATTCACCTTTAGCGCATGTCGTCAGACTGTGGGGGAAACCCACACGAACACGGGGAGAACATGCAAAGTTTACAAAGAAACCATTGTTAACCACTAAGCCACCATGCCGCCCCTTGACAGAGATTAAATTTATAATGCATCATAAATAAAGTTAAAGTAGCAAAAAAAAAAGGACAGGCAGTTATGTTTTCCTGTAGGGTAACAAAATGGAGTTTCATGGTTAGTTAAAGTGTAAGTAGACTTTAAGTAAACTTAAATTATAAATCTAAAAAAAAATCTATACCCTGATCTCTAGAAATGTTTGATCATTTTGATCAAGTCCCTTGAACCTGAACTTTGATATATCAAGGAAATCCATCACAATGATTTTACAGTTGAAGTATGATTAACTAATTATTAAACACTCTGAACTAGCCCCTCCTGTTTATTTTTTTGTCCAATTTTTGTTTCTAGTTTTAATAACTCATTTCAGATAACTGATTTATTTTATCTTTGCCATGATGACAGTACATAATATTTTACTAGATATTTTTCAGGACACTTCTATAGGTTTTAAAGTGACATTAAAAGGCTTAGCTATGTTAATTAGGTTAACTAAGCAGGTTAGGGTAATTAGGCAAGTTATTGTATAATGCTGGTTTGTTCTGTAGACTACCAAAAAAATATATAGCTTAAAGGGGCTAATAATTTCGACCTTATAATGGCTTTTAAAAAATTAAAAACAGTTTTTTTTTTCTAGCCAAAATACAAATAATACTTTCTCCAGAAGAAAAAAAAAAACATTATCAGACATACTGTAAAAATGTCCTTGCTCTATTAAACATAATTTGGGAAATATTTAAAAAAATTAAAAAATTCAAAGGGGGCTAATAATTCTTAACTGTATGTAAGTAGAAGAATTAACCTGGGCAATCCAGCATTGTGTGTGTGTGTGTACATGTTTTTGTGACATATCAGGACACAAATCTGTATAATGACATGGGTATGACACAGGTATTACAAAAAGGAGGTGAAATATGAGGACATTGGTGATGTTCTCATTTCTCAAAATGCGTTTAAATCACACAGAATGAGTTTAATCAGAGAGTAAAGCTGCACACAGTCTCCTGTGATGGTTGGGTTTAGGGGTGGAGTGGGGTGAGGGCAATATAATATACGGTTTGGACCGTATAAAATGAATGGAAACCTATGTAATGTCCCCACTTTTCACAAAAACAAACATGTTTGTGTGTGTGTGTGTGTGTGTGTGTGTGCGTGTGTGTGTGTGTGTGTGTGTGTGTGTGTGTGTGTGTGTGTGTGTGTGTGTGTGTGTGTGTGCGTGTGTGTGTGTGTGTGTGTGTGTGTGTGTGTGTGTGTGTGTGACTTTGCATGCTGGATGGCCAGGGAGAGTGAGGGTTTAAATGTGAAAGAGGACACGCACACCTGGAAGCAGAAGGACAGGGTGAGATGAAGCAGAGCTCTGCACCTCCATATCATCTCTTTACAAGAATGTAAACTTTTTTTTTTTCAGGAAGGCGGGAGATCAGGCTGTAGTTTGTCAGCCCTGTCTTACAACTTTCTCTCCTGTCAGCTCGTAACCCCTCACCCTTTGATCTTCTGCTTGTGCACACTTGCCTTTAAAAACACAGCCAGTCTTGTGCAGTCAAGACCTCTGCAAATGTGTAGAACTTCACACTGTGGAGATTCAGTTGAATGTGGCTTGGTTATCAAAATATCCATCTTACTTTGATAAAATTATAAAGTTGTCAACATGCTAAAACAAAATGTTTTGAAAGGATAGCTCACCGAAATATAAAACAATCTGCAATCATTTACTCATTCCTTGTTTCCAACCTGTTAGATTTTTCTTCTTCAAAAAAAAAAAAAAAAAAAAAAAAAAACAAGTGCGCCGACATATAGTGCAGTAGCTCCTCAGGGCGTCCTGAGTTTGAATCCCAGCTTGAGGACATATCCCTACCCCCCTCTATCTCGGTTGTTGCTAGAGCGGATGCGTTTGCGGCCGGAAGTTAACGCAAATTATTTCTATTATTTATTAAATTTCTCATTTGTTGTATTTTATTAATGTCTACCCTCACAGTAATGTAAAAACTGTACTTGTACCGAGTATTAGTTTTGTTATCTATTAAATTACCCAATAAAATGTATTTTTTAACGCCTACCCCCACCCCAACCCTAAACCCAACCCTCACAGTACTGTAAAAATATTATTTATTGTTGTACAGTGTCAAAAAAAATGCTGCTTTATTAATGTGCATATCGCACTTCCGGCCGGCCGCATATCCGATCTAGACTTTACCCTCTATCTCCAACATCGCTTCCTGTCTCAATACTGTCCTAACTACTATAGGCAAAAATCCCAAAATAAATCTTAAAAAAAAAAAAAAAAAAAAAAAAAAGTCGCCATTGGCTTCTATAGCACCACTACCCTACTATGGATGTCAATAGCTGCTGGTTTTCATATTTATTTATTTTTTACAGATTTTATATATATTATGGGTCAAAAGGAAGTGAGTGATTAAAAAATGAGGATTTTTAATGCATTTGCTAACATAAAAAAAATTGTTATATTAAAGTATTTATACATTCATTTATACATTCATTTTCTTGTTGGCTTAGTCCCTTTATTAATCCGGGGTCACCACAGCAGA